CGCTTGTTTTCCAAACCAAAGGCTCTTGATACTTCAAAACAAATTTCATCCTACAACCATTTGTACAATTCAATTATAAATTCACACAAGAAAATAATCAAACAAGAAGGATATGAGATGTAGTGTAAGGATATGGCACTTGGGTCGCCTCTCTAGAACCACTTGTTTGTATTTATTAGCTTGACTTTGTCATGCTATCAAGCCAATTAGAAAGGAAAGCTTGCATCCTTGAGGGTGGTGATGCAAAATTTTCACAAGGGATTCTTCCTAATTTAGCTTGAAATGATGCCTATTTGACCCGTTGGACCAAATTTCCACTGACCCATGCGAATACACTTTCACCATTTAGAGAAGACCACTACGTTGGGGCCCTGAAAAGCTTGAGTCTTGTATTGGATGAGAAATCCTGTTTCCCTCTTTGAAATCCTTTCTAAGTATGTGTTTGTCATGCAATTCCTTATATTGTGCTTTGTAAGTGCTTGCCAAATCAAACACATTCATGCGTTAGCTCCTCCAACTCATGTAAGTCTACTATGTGTTGCTCATAGGCACTTTTGAGGTCAAATACAGGTATTGATGTCCAATCCTAGGGGCAAGCTTTGTGTTCCAATCCTAGGGGCAAATGGCAGTCATTTCCATAAACAATCTTGTAGGGTTTCTTGAATGTCGTTCTATAGGCCCAAAGAGGATCATTCAACTTATCTGACCACGACTTTTGGTTTCTATTAACGGCCTTTTCCAGAGTGAGCTTAATTTTTCCATTGGTGACTTCGGTTCGCCTGCTTGTTTGTGGATTATAGGCCAATATCAGTTGGAAACTGTGAAGTATAAGAGCACATGCTCATAGTTTCGAGTGTCAGCTTCAAAACTCTTTTTCTTCTGTATTAGCTTTGTTTTGTGGCAGCTTGTGTTGATGTTTGTGTGTTAGATTCTTGGAGGGCTGCATTGTGGCCTTGTGGATGGCAGGAGGTGCTTGATCTGCATTGCTTGATGTGCTGTGAGGATTGGGGTTGATAAGAGGCTGCTGTGAGGTGAGCAGGGGCTACTGTTATTCAAGGAGAACAGCAGGGCCTTCAAAGGTGAGGCAGTGTTGGTGAGACAGAACAAGAGTGAGAAGAGCTGTGAGATTATGTGTGGCCTTCAGGTTTTGTGAAAGTGCAATCAATTATGAAAACTATAAAAATAGAAAGTGCAATTAATTATGTAAACTACATATATGCTATGAAATAAATATAAAGAAATGGTGCAAAAACTACTAAAAGAATAATTATAATGCAAAGAAATGAATAAGCTCTTGTTGTAGCCTATCGAATATTAAGAATGGCCTAAAATATAGTTATAAATTATACTAATTAAAAATGAAGATAGAAGTGAATAATTGTGGTGAAATGTGGTGTTAAAATGGCCTAAAATATAGTTATAAATTATACTTATCACTCTGGTAAGAGGAGACGGTAGAGATTGCTGTGGAGAGATCATCACTAAAGTTTGTCCTGCACGAACTGGAAAGAGCTAGTGTGTTCTCAAATGAGGTTTCTATAAGTTTTTTTATTGACAAACAATTCTTGGAGGAGCTGGGATGAAACCTCCAATCGCATGGTCTTACAAGAGTTGATTGATTGGCAGCAATATAGGCTATATTACTTGGACAAGGTACCCATGTCCGACACAGATACGTGTCCAAGCGTCTGACTTGGCTGTTTTGTGAAAAAAAATTCCATGATTTTGAACTAAAAGTGAAGTGTCCAAGTGTCATATCCATGTCCCACTTGAGGGTTTGACATAGTTACTTGAGGTTAAATGAAGAGTCCAAGTAACATACAAAGTAAGACATCTATTGGCCAAAAGTTGCTATACATGCTAAATGCAACTTTATCACCTATCTCAAGGTTTTATCTCCAATTTTAGTTATGTTTGACTCTGCATCATTAGAATATGGTGAAAACTGATATGAAAGTCTGTCTGAATTGGCTCCTTATCATTTTCATGGCTGGTAAAATTTATAATGTTATGAAAGTCTCTCTGGATTGGTTAATTGTTAGGATTGAGGTTGGACATATATAGATTCATATAGTTTTCCACAACAAGTTCAAAGAGAGCAAAACTTCAACCGGATGATTGGTTGCTGCTAGCAGGATTACTTAACTATGATTTTTAAGATGAAAAGTTAGCTTAACCAGCTCTGTGGTTGACTTTACCAACTGAAACAATTTGAACTTGTTAGTTGTAATTGTTAAAGAATGTTTATCCTACTAATGGTTAGAGTTGTGTTGTCATAGTCAGTTCAAATAGTTAGCCGTAGCTATTTGGATGACTGTCCAGGGACCTATCAAAATAATTGTGTTGTGGACATCCTCTGCAGTCTGTTGAAGCTGTCCATTCATGTCAGACTCATGCAATTTTCACAATTTCCAGAGGATATGTGGAAAACCACATCCCTTGATTCAGCATCTAAGGTTCCAAAAGAACTAGTTTCCCAAACTGATATTTTACCTATAATATACGGTTGTTATGGGATTTCTTGTTGTGTAACTAAAAATGCTGTTCTATCTCCTGATTGTGATGCATTTGGTATGAGTTCAATATCTGCTTTTGGTTTTTAATTGGTTACTTCTTTCAATCTGCAGGCTGGGCTTTTGCAGATACTGTTTTGCATAGGTTAGCGCCTCTTTGGGTGGGTGCTAGAGGATTGGAATTCACATGGGATTACGTCCTGCAAGGTCTTGAAGCAAATGCTAATCTGGTATAATTTCAATTTCTTTTACTTTGAAATATATGATTGCAAAAGTTTATGTTAAATAAGCTTCCTTATCCCATGGATTTTGAAATAGAAATCAATCATTCAGTTACAAATAACTTTAAGGTTTAGTGCGATACCGTTCATTGGTTTGGGAATACTGTGGCATATTGGTCTTGGAAAATCTGTGAAGACTGATAGTGGAGAGGTTGAATTGGTTGACAGAAAGGGGTAGTGTTGTGTAGGATTTGCTATTGAAATGACCTTTCGTTGCTTTTCACCATCATTTCTATGCTGATTTACAATTCTTCTTCAGGTGCTGTGTATCTCTTTGGCTGCATTAGGGTCCTTGATGTGGCTCAGGAAGAACAAGCCAAAGACACTGATACCTTTAATATACTTGTGTGCTGGGATAGTGGCCACCATGCCATCTATCACAAGGTTTGTTTCATATACTTTCTTTAGATTTAAAAAATGCATCATATGGCATTAATCTATCTTGCTGCAACAACTTTTACACCACCTATCCATATTTAATTACCTAAAATATTTGGGAAATTGCCTTTTTATCCATTGAAATCTTTCGTAACAAATTTGAAATCAATAAAAAATGACTTATTGTTCCAATGTTTGCAACCCTAAGAACCTTATATTAAAACAAGATTGACTCCCAATACTAAGTGTTGGAGTCAGCTCAGGAAGTGGCCACATTTATACAAGGATCATGTGGTAAATTATTAATACAAAAATCAGGATACTGCATGATGAGTATGAAATAGCAGGTGGCTCCTGAAGCATCCTAGGCTTTGAATCTACATATAACTCCACTTGAAAGCCTTATGTTTATAGTGATGTCAAACTCAGGATCAATGGAATTCCTAGAAGCATAACACTTTTGAGTTTTCTTGTACATCACTTGTGATGAATCAGAAGCCTAGTTTCCATTAGCCTGTGACTGTGTAGACTACATTTCAACATTCTTTTTCATGTAGTGCTTCAAAAAAATCAGAAACTCAAGCTGATGTACATCGTAAAAACCCTTATATTGCCAAAGCTTGCTGACTGCTGCCATGTTGATGCTATAATTTTTCAGTGATATATCATGCTAACTCTTGCGTATTTTACTACACTGAATTTCAGTTATTTGCGTCGAGGTATGGGATGGAAATTCCCAGAAGTTGTTGGCTTTCAGCTGGTCACTTCTTTGGTGATTGCTTTTATTAGCTGGCAACTCTTTGCAGCATGTCAAAGACCATCGTTTTGATGATGTTCTGATACCAATTATTCTACCCAGTTGGTACCATGATTCAGCCAGAGGAAGAAGACAAGCCTTTTTGAAATGTACCCTACTTTAGTTTCGGAGCTTTTTTTTTATCACATTGGCTTGGTAGCATTTTTACTAAGTCCCTGCTGCCACTAAGCTTTTTTCAGCGACTGGAAGCTCCATTCAGGATGAGAAAATTGTTTAAAGATGGAAGATCAATGGGTTTTTTTTTATAAAAGCATTTGGTATTTGAAAGATTTTGTAACAGAAATATACACAATGTATTTGGAAGAGATTCAGTTGAAATGGTACAGCCAATTAGGGAGGCATAATGTTAAATTCAGTTGGTGTAATTTATTTTATTATTTCTTCAACGCAGTGACTTGTATCTGCTTCTGAGATCTCCATTACAGAACTGTGCGTTGTGTTTCACCAGTCTATTCATCATCATACTTCTAGGTAGGGTTTGCGTTGTATCTTGAATCTGAGACATGTGTTGTAGCCGAATGAGGGCGCACAAAATGAGCATTATTTTACTCCTTCCAGACTACTGGGAGGGGTTGCCAATGAATCAATATATGCAGTATCATAAATGAATTATACGTGAAATGATGTGGATACTTCATTGTCAGGTTAGGAAATTACAGAACAATAAAATGAACGAAGACTGTTTAATGTCCCAAACATAATCTAAAGTATAAACAACTGTATAGTGTTATTCGGTGTTATCAAGTTTGCTTTAGGAACAATGGCATCAATCTGCTCTTAATAATTGTGACATCTCAATTGCCTCCACATTTTGATTAAAATTTGATGGGAAATTGTTTAATTAGCCGGCCATACTAGCTGATGATCGAATCTCAGTGATTGGCCAATCTAAGACGATTTACTAAAATGTTCCAAGGTGAACTAATAAGGCCATGAAAGCAAGATATATTCTTCAGATTGTATAGAGCCTCAGCAAAGAATTGGTGATAAATTTTCGAAGAATACAGCAACTTCTGAAAGACTGGTGAATGATAAAACAAATTGCCTAGACATAATTACCTGAAAGAATAAACTTTCAAAAGGAAAATGTAACACTATATGAAGGAAAAATAATGTGGGAGTTTGAGGTTTGTAATTGAACTTACAAATTGAACACCAATTCCCAATTCATGAGATTGAGGGGGCAAAGGTACAATTTTATATAACTAAATTCAAAGTTGAACATTGAATAAATATTACTCAGCTTCCTCTACGGACGCCTCGATTCGCAGAAGCACAAAACCAACAGCAACACCAACAAGTGTAAGTCCATTCATAATAGCAGCAATCCTGAAAATCTCAGCTGCAGCATTACAGGTAGAAGTCAAAGCACCACCTGATCTTCCTTTCTTGCTTGAAGTACTCCTCAATGAGCTCACAACATTGGCGAAGCACTGCTCGGTGCAGACTGCCTGACCGAGACCGAGCACAGTGTTGTTCGCCTTGAGACCACCGTAGGAGTTAAGTCCACTCATGTACACCACCTTGTTCATCTTTCTCTGAGCCCTGCTGCCTGATATTGTAGCAGCAGCCGGAACTGCTGCCGAGGAGAAGGTTGTTGATGCTGCTACTGTTGCCATTTTTAGCTAGCCCCTTGATCTGAAAACAGGAATTAAACTTATATATTATTGCAAGAACTGATAACAAATATTATGAAGTAACAAGAACAATAATCAATAGAATGGAAACTTCAGGCAAGTGTAAGAAATTGACAGCTGAATATGGAGCTAATAATTTGGTTAATAAACTAAACATCATTAAAAATAACAATTTAATGAGGTTGGGTTTATGGTAGTAAACAGACCTTTTTGTGTCAGATTGAGAGATGATGCAAAAAATGGAGGAAATGAAGGAGTGGCCTAAGTAATGAAGAGTGTGGTGAAGGTGGGTTTGGATAAGGTAAGATGATATTTGGATGGCTGATACAATTGAGCTGAAGATTTTGAGCACCAAAAGAAAGTTGGTGGGGTACACTTGAATGCTTGGTTCTGGAGATTTACCTTGTTAGGAAATATTGATACGGACTACCCAAAAAAAATAATTTGGCGGGATTATAACTTTAGCAAGTCTTGTATGTGGTCAGTCGTATTAGTTCTAATTTTATCATGTCTTTGAAGGGACAACCATATTAGTATGACCACATTTGTTTATAAGAATAACCTTTCAGTTACAAGTAATGTGACCAACTATATGGAATGACCACATTTATTTATAAGAATAACCTTATTTTATTAAAAAGTATAACCCTGATTTATTATACAAATAATATCAATTAATTATATAAAAAATATCTCCATTTAATTAATTATAAAAAAATTATTAATTATAAAAATAACCCATAATAAGAGCACCAACTTTCTTACTATGTGGCCAGCTACCATGGGGTTACTCGGTTAGTGTTATAGAGGTTACTCTGTTACGTACGGCTATAGGGGTTACAATATCAGTGTTGTAGGGTATAACTTTGTTATTTATGGGTTATTTAATAGGTACTCCCTCCGTTTTTTTTTATTTGCATCAATTGGTGATACGCGGAGTTTTAGGAGAGTAATATAATATTGTGAGTAGGTGAATAATTTATTATAGTAAAAGTTAGATGGGGACCATGAAAGAGAGAATGTGAGGGAGAGTAAATATTTTTATTATATAGTATAAAGTTACCAAATAAGGAAGTGATGCACTTAAAAAAAACACCCATGAAAGGAAAGTGATGCATTTAAAAAAAACGGAGGGAGTATAATAACGGATTACTCTGTCAGTATAATAGGATTACTCCATTCTTTTACAAGCGGTCACACATTGTAGTCAATCACACACAAAACGCGTTGTAATAAAGGAATACATATTATTTAGATATTATCATATTCACCTCTATCTCGGATTACAAATCATCATAAGATTACATTATAAACAGGGTCACTTACTTTCTAGCAAAAATAGGTACTACAGTACTTTGACAAATGATTTTTTTATTTTTATTTTTAAGTTGTAGGTTATTGGGCAAGATTAGCGCTAAGTTTTAAAACTTGAATTTGATGACATGGCATATTTCATACCAAGTTTTAAGACCTAACAATAAAATATGTGGGCATTGAAGTATATAAGGCTTGATAGTCTTGAAAAATCAATTCTCTAGTTATTACTCAATATGTGAGTGAAATAAAATATAGACATTAAAAAGTATTTTAAAAATTAATAAATGAGAGATCTTAAAAAAATATGTGGGACGAAAAAAGATATATTTGGTTGTGTTTGAAAAGTTGATGCGGATTTTATGGGATATAAAATTCAATCGCAGTTGAAAGGTTTGGGTTCTTGAGTCTCGTTCACGTAACATTAAGCAACACGAGCTTAACCTTAATAAGGCCAAAAATACATAAACAAACTTTAAACTTATAAATTTCAAAATCTATAAATCATACTTTTCATTAAACACTATCACATATTTATAATCTAAATAATTAGCCTAAAAATCGTCTATAACATAACCTAATATAACTAGGAAGACTAACCCTAACTTGTAAAGCTAAAGTTTTGCAAATATAATCTTTAACGATAATCTATTTTTTTAGTAACCAATTATATTAACAATTGTATCCTAATTAATTTCGGCCACCAATAAGATAAAACTAGTAACAATTGAAAGTTCCAAAAAAGGAAAGATTTGTAATCATCAATTCGCATAGCTTTGTAGTTAAGCTATGTTATTGTAAAGTTGATTGATAGGTTTGGAAGGTGCGGATAGACATAAGGATGCATAGCTTTGTAGTTAAGCTATGAGATTGATTGTTCGTGCTAAGCAACGATGGATGGCAAAGGGATGATTGTACTTCAAAAGATCATATATCAAAATCTAGATATGGTTCGAGTTGGAGGTGAAAGTTTGTCTTAAGAGAATTCCAACAATTGGTTATGAGCTCGTTTTGGACAAAAAAAACAAGGAACTTATCGGCGTTTTACAAATAGTTGTCTGCCTACTAGAAAGTTCCCTCGAACTTGTGGGAGGTTTGCCAGAACTCAAAGAGAAAATTGGCTATGAGTCACTAAAAACAGGTTCAATCGAACCTTCTTGGTAGTTCACCTGAACCAAGGGTTTGCACCCACCCGCCACTGTTTTCTACGGTTTTGCGATAAAAGTCGCGTGACTTATTTACAAACTTAGGATTTTTAATTATGTCTTGCAATATATATATATATATATACTCATGTTTCATCATTGTATTAGAGTATGAGATGAAGAGAAAGATGCAGAGAGAGACCCTCAAATGTAAAAGCCACTTAGGATTTGAGTGTGGGAAGGAGTGTATCTAGGGCGAGAGCTTTCATGTGCTTTGATAACTTGTAAACTACATTGCTCTTCATCAAAGATTACTCTAGTTATAGTGGATTTTTGGATTAATCTCCTGGTTCTCTGGTTTTCCACGATAAATTCTCCTTGTCTTGTTTTTTACTTGTTTTCTGCTCCTCATTGTTACTAATTGTCATCAATCGCATACAAGTTAGCACAATCAGGTTTCCCCATAGCCCAGTTGTTTTTGGTCGTCTCTAGGCTTAGGTTAGTGGTAAATCTTGTTGTGTGTGATTGGAAAGTGGATTTTTGTTCTTAAAGTTCCAATTTTTCATTTGCTAGGACAATACCGAAAAAAACTTCTTTCTCTTTTTTTTTTTTTTTTACGAGACCCTAAAATTTGAGTGGCTTAATTTGTTGGAATCAAATAGAAAAAATAAATAAATAAAATTGATTAAACCAATTAACAAAAGCTTAGATTTTTTTTCTTTTCTTTCCAAGTTCAAGTAAGCAATGAAAGAGTCATTTTATATGTCTAATTTGGAATTCAGAAGAGTAAATACTTCCTCTATTTATTTTTAATCGCAACGTTAAGGATTTCACGCTTGTCACTCGACATTTATAACTTAAATATCTTAACAAAATGTGTTTCGAGACTAATCGAACAAGATCCCACACGACTATGTTTTTTCTAACATATAAATCACAAAAGACAATTACAAGAATGTGTGAATAATGTGAAATTCCAAACATTGCAATTAAAAATAACGGAGGAACGAAATACATGTTTATTGTCTTTCTTTGTGAATTCAAATTCAAGATTTATATTCTAAATAAAATAAACTCTAATTTTGGCGCCAAATTTGATTTATTTAGATGAAGTTTCGATTTCACGTGACAAAGAAGTTTTGATTTTTTTTGAAATCAAATTGGCAATGCTAGATTTTATTCTCAAATTTGAGCATAAGTTGACAGAATACATGGTCTTGGACGCCGAGCCTGAACTTGTGCTGGTTGTGAGGAATGTTGCCAACGTACTACTGCTGCAGTAGAGGTGCTCATAAAATGGCAAGGTTTACCACAATTTGAAGCTACCTTGATTTCTCATTTATTTACCAGAACTTGAGGACAAGGTGTCTCTTTAGGTGAGAGATAAAGCAAAGAATCATCAAGTCGAGCCAAGCAAGCCTCCGATCCTGTGTTAGTTACTTATGGAAGAAAGAGGTCCAAGGGAAGGGTGATTAAGTTATATCACACCATGTTGTTATGGTAGTTGCTAGATCGAGCTGACATCATAGGGAGCTGATTTTGTTATTTCTTTGGCTGAGCTGCAGAGTTTGCTAGAGCTGTGTTAGAGGTGTGATCAGTTGAATAAATAGAGCAGAGCATTGCTTGATGTAAAGAAACTCATTCAAAAATCATGTATTCAGCAATTTGAGCCATAAAATGATGACCCACAGACATGAAGTCGCAAAAGATTGCTTGGAAACTAACTACTATGGAGTAAAGAGAACCACTGAAGTTTGCTTCCTCTCCTCGAGTTATCGGATTCACAAAGGATCATCAATGTTTACTCTTCTATGGGGGATTTAGAATATGTTTCTTTCTTTTTGCATATAAACATCATCTGCTAAGAAAAATATTCATCGATTACCTCGTACTTTTCTTATCTCCCCAGAACAACTGAGAGAATCAAATGAGTCTTAGATGATGCTGATAACCTATGATGCACGGACACGCCTGCCAAGTGGCGTGTCCGAGTCGACACGCGTGTCGGACACGGACACGCGTGGGACACGGGGGGATACGTCTTGGACACGCAAAAATCCGTGTCCGTTTTTTTTTTGAATTTCTTCTGTACGGACACGGGCCGTGTCTCACCCAGACACGGTCCGTTTTGTGATGGACACGCAATTACGGCTTTACAAGCCCAACTTCCTCCATTCTCTCTGACTCTCTCACATTCTCAATTCCTCCATTCACAAACCTACTGCCTTACTCAAGCTCCCTGAGTCCCAGACCGTCAGCCACTCACCGTCGCGCCGATAACCGCCGTCGCTTCACCTGCTGCTGCTGGTCCAGACCGTCACTCAGTTCACCGTCGCTTCGTCGCCTACAACCTACTCTCACAGAGACACAGACTTCACTCGCCGCTCGTTGTTCGTCCTCAGCCACCACCCCAGTGTCGCCAGCCACCAGTCCACCAGACCACCACCAGGTAACTCGCTGAACCTAGGTTTCAGGCCGTGGCTTGACTGGCTTCTGTACTTTGTTTTTTTTTTAAATTCAATTAATTCAGTCGCTAACTCGCTCAACCTAGGTTTCAGGCTGTCGTTGTTCGTCCTCAGCCTCCAGTCCACCACCCAGTACCGTCCGTCGCCACTCGCCAGCCACCAGTCCACCACCAGGTAAGGGTTATGTGACTTCTGTCTTCTGTACTTTGTTTTCTGAAATTCAATTGCTGAATGCTGATGTTAATTGTGAGGTGGAGCCGTGGAGGCAGTATCACTGTAATTCGCAATTGTTAATTGTTAAATGTGATGTTAATTGTTAATTGTGATGTTAATTGTGAGATGGGTTCAGCTGTCAAATTGTATTGTGCCCTGGTTGCTGAAATTGTATTGTATTGTTGACTCGCTGACTTGCTGGTTGCTGAAATTGTATTGCTGAGTTGCTGACTTGCTGGTTGCTGAAAGTGTATTGCTGACTTGCTGGTTGCTGAAATTGTATTGTTGTGTTGCTCACTTTGCTGTGTTGTCTTGCTGAAATGTGCTGTTGTGTTGCTGAAATTGTCAGGAATGTCTTCTAGTTCCTCTGCTTCATGCAATGTCAGTGGTAGTAGTAATTCATCTGAGTCAATGAAAGACCTCTACCCTTTGTGGAAGTTTGTTGTTAAGGGTGATAAAATATCGGGTGGTGGAGGAAATTATAATTGGAAATGTAACTTTTGCGGCGAAGTTAAAAATGGTTCATACACTAGAGTGAAAGCTCATTTGCTAGGTAAACAAGGGAAAGGGATTCAAACTTGTAATAAAGTGAAAATTGATGACCTTGCTAAACTAAGATCGCTTCATCGTGAATCCGAGGATTATAAAAAATCTTTGTTACCAAAAGTTCCACCTTTTTCAAATGAACCCATATCTTCTCACACATCAACTGAAGCTACATCAATGAGACTAGGTTCATTTGATAATGTAAAGAAGAGGAAATCAAAAAATACAATTTCCGATGCTTTTAATGTGAAATCTCGTGACCACTTGGATTCTGAAATTGCTAGAATGTTTTACACAGGGGGGTTGCCTTTTAATCTTGCTAGAAATCCTTACTATGTTAGTTCATATACAATGGCTGCCAATTCTAATCTCTCTGGTTATAAGCCTCCCGGATACAACAAACTTAGAACAACTTTGCTTTGTAAAGAGACAGAAAATGTGGATAGGTTATTACAACCTATGAAAGCCACATGGAAAACAAAAGGTGTTAGCATTGTTAGTGATGGGTGGAGTGATCCACAAAGAAGGCCTTTGATTAACATTATGATTGCTTCTGAAACGGGTCCTATGTTTATGAAAGCTATTGATTGCTCGGGTGAGATTAAGGACAAAGATTTCATTGCTACCTTACTAAGTGAGGTGATTGATGAAATTGGAGATCAAAATGTTGTTCAAATAATCACAGATAATGCAAGTAATTGTAAGGCTGCAGGGGAATTGGTTGAGGGTAGGTATCCTCATATATATTGGACACCATGTGTTGTTCATACACTTAATCTTGCAATGAAAAGCATCTGTGCAGCTAAGAATGTGTTGAATAATGTTGAAGTATATGATGAATGTCATTGGATAACGGAAGTTCATGCAGATGCCTTGTTCATTAAAAATTACATAATGAATCATTCGATGAGGCTTTCAATGTTCAATAAGTTTTCGCCATTAAAACTACTTTGCATTGCCGACACTCGTTTTGCTTCAATTGTGTGCATGCTTAAAAGGTTGAAACTCCTTAAAACATCACTTCAATCAATGGTTATTAGTGAGAATTGGTCCTTATACAAGGATGATCGACGCGGGCAAGCCTCACATGTAAGGGAAAAGATTTTGGATGAAATATGGTGGGAAAAAGTTGATTACATTCTTGATTTTACACGCCCAATCTATGAGATGATTAGGGTTTGTGACACCGACAAATCTTCCTTGCATTTGGTTTATGAAAGATGGGACATTATGGTTCAAAAGGTGAAAGATGCCATCTACAAGAAAGAGGGTAAACTAGATTATGAACAATCTACCTTCTTTAATGTAGTTAAAGGGATTCTTAGTAGTCGTTGGAGTAAGGGTAGTACTCCACTTCATTCATTAGCACATTCTTTGAATCCAAGGTAAGTTTTACTTATTTAATTCATCTTTATTTATTTTTCCTTGTTTTTTATTTAATTTCTTATGGCTATTCTTATTTTGTTGTTAAAGATTTTACACGGAAGAATGGCTTAATGAGGTCCCGGGACGAGTTGCTCCAAATGCCGACAATGAAATTTCCACACAAAGATTACAATGCTTTCGAAGGCTTTTCCAAAGTCCCGATGAAAGATTCAAGATCAACACGGAATTTGCAATATTCTCACAAAAATCAGAGGGGATCTTTCTCAACATTGATTGCATGCATGATATGGCTTTGATGGATGCTAAAAATTGGCGGGCAACTTATGGTTCCCAAGTGCCTATGCTTCAAGGTTTGGCTTATAAGCTATTAGGTCAACCTTCTTCCTCTTCTTGTAGTGAAAGGAATTGGAGCACCTATAAGTTTATTCATTCTTGCACTAGAAATAAGCTTACTCCTAAACGTGCTCAAGACTTGGTATACATTCATAACAACCTTCGATTACTTTCTAGGAGAAGTGAAGAATACACTAAGGGGAGATCTAAGTTGTGGGATGTGGGTGGAGATGAGCATGACAACCTAGGAGAGGTTGGTATTCTAGAGATGGCCGAGCTCTCACTTGATGAACCCGAGATGGAGAATATGATTTTTGATGATGTACTTGGTGATGGTGAAGAATGAAACTATTAGTACTTTTGTTTATTTTATTTATGATTTGTAAAACTATTATTAAGACATGTATTTGGTTTGATGGTTTCTTGATATGTATGAGACTACGTTCGTACACTTTGTTTATTTACTTGTTTTAACAAAATTGTGTGTTTTGAGGCTAATTATTTAGTGTTTTATTGAATAGGTTGTCAAATTCTCGTTTTTTTGATATATTATATGCCTTGTTATATGCCGTACCCGTGTCCCCTATTTCAGGATTGCCGTTTTCCCGTGTCCGTATCGTGTCCGTGTCCGTGTCGGTATCCGTGCAACATAGCTGATAACCTTACAGAAGAACAAGTGGACGAGATTTTTAACGAGTTGCAGAGAGACTTTAAGGACGGTTCATTCAAAGAGAAGGGCTGGCCTTCTACCATGGCAGCCTATATTGTGTCAAAGGCAGCTTTGAATGCATATACAAGAATATTGACTCAGAGATACCCGTCAATTATCATCAACTGTGTTTGTTCTGGCTTTGTTAAGACAGATATCAACAAAAACTTGGGACATTTAACAGTTGAAGAAGAGGGCGCAAGTCCAGTGAGATTAGCATTGCTGCCCCATGGTTCACCTTCTGGTCTTTTCTTTTTAAGAAATGAAGTTTCTTCATACGATTAAAATGAATTACACACTAAAACCGATTTCAGATCAAATGATTGTTACCTGTTTACCACTGGAACTTATCACTAGTACAAAAATCAATGTAAACCGTAACAAATGTATAAATATTTTACATTACATATCTACAAGTTTTCCATTCATGCTTATCCAACGACAGCTTTTGGCATGCTGTCTTGTAACTTTCTGATCTCATTTTGTACATTTTGTCTGACTGCAAACATTAACAGTCTATAACTCACTTACACAGGTAATTGATCAAAAAACTAATAATAACACCCTTATTTCTGTTCTTTCATGGCAGTGTAAGGAATGTTATAAACCTTATCACACCTTTTATCCCACAGATAAAATCCAATCCAAGCTGACTACTAGTGTTGCGTTGCATGTCCCTTGCCATGTTCCCTTACTGAGTTCGTCTTCCCACATAGATTTACAGAGAGCATGTGGGCAAAAATTTAAAGTCAACCACGAGAATATGATGTCAGCTTAAGTATAGAAAGAGAGATACACTGAAAAGAGAATTGTCAGCTGAATATCAGCACTAATTTAGAACTAAAAGCATCAACTAGAAGTAAAATCTGTTCCATACTAGCTTTCTGCAAAAGAGTATGAGTTTGTACTTTAATTACATTACCTAAAAAGAAGAGATGAGCAAGTCATGGGGATCTTCATCACTTGGAGACCAAGAAAACCTCAGGCTTACTAGATTTCGGTGTGTTAGCATTGGAAGAAGAAGTGGCTAAAGCAGCAGCATTAGCGGTGGTGCGAGCACGATTGTCAAGCTGAACAAGGCTTCGTGTAGCCAGGATAGCCTGTGGAGCTAGGTCATGAGAAGCCCTGGCATAGAGACGCCTCACCGCCACAGAAGCAGCGTCCTTAACCTCCTGGTTATTCATAGGAGCAGGAGCCAGCAGACAGTGGCCCAGTATCCTTAGCAATGGCTGCAATAGCTCCCAGGGCAGCAAAATTCTCACCCCTTCTTGTTCCTGCCCATGTCCCTGTCCCCCAGAAGAAGATGAATTTGACATCTGGGAGTGATTGGTATTGTTGCCGTTGATATCCAACCTAGAAATAACCTCTGAAAGGATAATTGCACTTCCTGCTGTTCCATTTTGGTGAGGTTGAGGGTGTTGAGCAATGATACCTCCAATAGTACTAGACCTACTAGTGGTGCTAGTTGTGGAGGAAATAAGGTCCTCACTGACAAAGACAGCATCGTCATCGTCATCCAGTCGATTAGCAGTTGTAGTAGGAGTATTGCAATGGAAGTCAAGAGAATGAGCACAGGGACAATCACTGCCAGCCCACGAAGCAGCAAAATGGCAGAGATCTATCTTAGACCAAAGAGGCATTTGGGAGATGTGTTTGAAAAAGCAATGGAAGGCTACCCCGACAATAGTAGCACGCTTTGTGGACTGGATCCCTATTTGGGGCTCTAGAGGTGGTGAGATAACCCCAACTCCAATTTCAACTCCAATTCCAGACACACCAGAAGGAGAAGAAGAAGAGGATGATCTGGAAAAATAATTATTATTAACAGGAGGGTGAGGTTGAGGAGTTGGGGTGTGATAGAGGGAAGGATGGTGAGCAAGGTAAGCAGGGGAAGGGATGGAAACGAGGAGAGGTTTGCCAGCGCGAGCCTTAACCTCATAAGAGTAGAGAGCCAAGAGAACGGCTTCAAAGCCTGCAAGGGAAGGGGAGCCGAGGGCGCAAGGGGAGGTGGTGGAGAAGGTGTGAATGCGAGATAGATAGAGTCCAGCAATGAGAGGCACCAAGGAAATCACCACAAGGCGGAAGTCTGATTCAGAGTCATCAGAAGACTGGAGGAAGGTGTCATAGAGCCATTGACAGAGAGGATCATCACCAGATCCAGAGAGAGCAGATGACACAGCAGAGTAGGTTTCATAGGAGTCCAGAAGGGAGTGAGCAGGTTGATCAGAGTCAACCAGTGAAGAGAGAGAATCACTGGATGAAAATGAAGGAGGGAGGAGAGAAAAAAGGGCTTGGATTCGGGAGCGAGCTTTGGACACTGACTCCCACCATGATTCCATTGGATCCTGTACCTGCTACTAGTACATGATGTTACTACTGCTGCTGCTGTTGATGTAGATTAAAAGGGAAAATCTAAATCAGCCACTACCTGCAAAATAACAGCAACAGAGGGGAGAAAAAAAAAAATTATCGAATGAATCACAAGGTTGAGGTAGCAATCAAAATAACAAGAGACGAACAAGAAAAGATCACAATGTCTCTTAATTGCACCCTATGGTCCCTATCTGTCTAGTAAGCACTAAGCACTTGACAAACAAGGTTAGACATTATCACACTCAACTAACAAACTCCCTCTAAACCTAAAAGAACATGGAAAAGAATGTAAAATCAGATTCTTCAAATACGAATCAGTAAGTTGCTGATTACTAGGTGCAAGTGTGATATCAAGAATGTTAACCGAAAATTCTATACAACCATAAAATCTGTAACCCCATGCAGGGTAAGAAGTAGAAATTGAGAGGTCAACAAAACCTTCAAGATTCAAAGAAAGTTTTCGATAAAAAAAGATGTATTACATTAATCACCTTCCTCACTCTTGGTCCCTCTCCCTAGTCCCTACCCATGCAACATCCCTCATGGTGCATACATTCCTTGCACCGATAATGTCGGACATAGATGCTTAGCTCAAAGATATTAAATTAACCCTTGATGCCATAAACCCAATAAAAAGGAAAACATTGACTAAAGTGCTAGTTGCATCCGAAAATCCCCACTCGATAACAACACCACAGTAACAGCTTAGTGCTTTCGGTGTAGATCAGGTGATAGAGATGACTAAATCAGCATAGTTATCTCTTAATTTATGTTCTCATCTTCTTTCATTTGAGTTAAGGAGCTTAGCAAAGGGTCAATCCTTCTCAAATCACCATCTTATGACGGAGTTTATGAGTGACCGAGGTCCCTTCCTCATCCACCAAGAGCCTACCACACCACCAAACAAGTCGATTGGCAGCATCGCCTACAACACCCATCCATTTCTGTTTTGAAGAAATTATATTACTTCTAGTTTAGAAATTTCTCATTTTCATGATTCTCATTGTAATTCATGCTTGATTAAAGGGTTGACAATGTATAGTTGACAATGAACACCAGAAGAGGTCTAACATTAAAGGATTGTGCTATACATTAGCAACCAAATCTGATTCAACAATTATCAAACAAGGCCCGAAAAATCACATAATTTTAGGGAAATGTGATTCAATTATCAAATTTCTAGCAACATTATGATCTTTCATAATCTTAGTATTTAGTTGAGATTTTCGAACCCTACACTTACTGCATTGACAATTAAATAAGGTCAAATATAAACCCTAGATTGTGAAATGGATATGAAGATTACTAAAAGAAACAACAGCGAACTTACCTCAGAAGCTGCTGAGAACAAAAAGTTTGTAATGGAGAAATCAACTGCGATGTTCAGTGCGCTTCAATGGAGATCTGCAAGACAGAGAGAGGGGGGAGCAAGAGGAGGAAGCACTATGTTCATCCGTTTTTTTCTTTTTTTTTTTTTTGACAGAGCAATTTAAATATTAAATGCGTTGGAGCTTCGTATTGTTTTAAAATGAAAAATAAATCCCTTCACATGATACTCTCTCCGTCCCTAGATGTTTATTTCTGGCATTTATTACTCATATAATAAAGAAAAGTAGGCATTTAATTTAGGGACGGGGGGAGTATTGTTTAAAAATTTAAAAGGGTAATAATAAGGCTCAAACAATTCCATTTAATCCTCTAATCAAACCTGAATTTGACTCATTTTTATTTTTCATTCTATTATGATGGTTGCATTCAAAATATGAGATTTTACCTTTTTTTGTGACAAAATAGGAGAATTGATAAGCATTGATCTAGGGATTATAAACCATTTTTCTATAATTTTCTCCATAATTGCATATACGATGGACATAAAAAGTCAAAGAGTCACATACCAGTTTATCTACCGAAAAAAATAAAAAGAAAATGAATGTAATTTTTTTTCAAAAGTAAAAGGGTCGGGGCAATGATGATAGGTCTCGATCTGACCCACCCTACTTAAATTTTAATGTGACCCGCCATTTCCCCGACCCTTTAAGAATTGACCCACCTTGCCCCAAACTCGACCCATTCAGTAGGTTTATTGATAATATCCATTCCCACCTTGCCCGAAACTCGACCCATTCAGTAGGTTTATTGATAATATCCATTAGAGAATCTTGTACTCCGTATTATTATGTACAATATGTATTTCGATCTATGATAAATTTGCAATACTTGTCTTACTCGTTCGTTTTCATTTTATCGAATCTTTTTGGACTTATACTTTAATAAAGTTGTGTACATACCGATCATACATAATGTATACATTTAATGTAGGTTTTGTTATTTTCTAAAATAAAAAATAGATACGAGTACTTAATAGGTTTGACTTGTTACTACTAATACATGTGCTCATTTCATTTCTAAACAAGCATATGTTCCAGACGATGCCTTGAATTGTTATTCTTCATAATTTTTTATCTAGTGCGGAAATTTGACATCACGATATGATAATTAGTCATTAACAAACTTTGTAAATAAGGCAGATTATAAATTGCGAATTAAAACAGAAATAAAACAAGTAAG